TTGTTCCGGTCAGACACTTTAACTCAGAGATATGGCCCTTGATTAGTTATGCAGTATGCATATGGAGTAAAAATCGTTTCCGCGCTACTTCTCTGCAACTACTGGCTGAAATTCAATGAAACTTTATGGGAACCTTCAATACCAAGAGGAGATGCGCATATCGTCGGCTTGTTCGGGTCAGACACTTTAACTCAGAGTTATGGCCCTTGATTAGTTATGCAATATGCATATGGAGTAAAAATCATTTCCGGAGTAGTTCTCTGCAACTACTGGCTGGAATTCAACAAAACTTTATGGGAATCATCAATATCAAGAGGAGATGCGCATATCGTCGACTTGTTCCGGTCCGACCCTTTAACTCAGAGTTATAGCCCTTGATTAGTTATGTAGTATGCATATGGAGTAAAAATAGTTTCCGCACTACTTCTCTGCAACTACTGGCTGGAATTCAACGAAACTTTATGGGAACCTTCAATACCAAGAGGAGATGCCCATATCGTCGGCTTGTTCCGGTCAGACACTTTAACTTAGAGTTATGGCCCTTGATTAGTTATGCAGTATCCAAATAGAAAAATATTTGTTTCCTCGCTACTTCTCTGCTACTACTGGCTGGAATTCAATGAAACTTTATGGGATACTAAGAGGAAATGTGCATATAGTCGCCTTGTTCCAGTCAGATACTTATAACTAAGATTTATGGCCCTTGATTAGTTATGTAGTATGCATATATCTCATTGGCATTTCCAGATTTTACTATTTAACACAAAGTTATGGCTCTGTTATTGCCCTGAATATTTTTCAAGTTCAAAGAATATTACTGTTTATGCCATGATTAATATATAAATAAAGCCTTATGTCTTCAGTTGTTGTGTTAATAATAACCAGTACTCGGCGGGGGATATAAATTCAACGAATTTGCTTGTTTTGTTATGGATGATTCATTCTAGAACAAAGGTGACTTATGTCAAAACTGACATGACTATTAAGTCAAATTAATCTTAACATATTATTAAGTGAATAAGCACTGTTAAAAGAGCATTTTTAAAACAATATAGTATACAGTATTATAAGAATCTTACACCGGCTGCCGGTACAGACTGGAATATCTAGCTCAAGGGTAACTGTTTACAGCGGTAACGAGGCTCTGCCAAGTTTTTGCTAAACAGTTACCCGAGAGCTGGATATTCCCGTCTGTACCAACAGCCGGTGTTTGTTTTTATGCCACCGCAGCATCTGCGATGCGGTGGCATATAGCGATTCACCTGTGTGTGTGTTTGTTTGTGTGTGTGTGTGTTATATAGATTATATAGTGAACTTCAAAAATCTTCTTGTGAAAAACCACTAGTCCAATTTAAACCAAACTTGGCAGGATTGATCCTTAGGTGAAGGGCTTCTAAAGTTGTTCAAAGAATTTCATTACATGCAGAAATCTGGTTGCCATGGCAACCAAAAGGAATTATAAGAATAAATTAAAAAAATCTTCTTGTAAAGACCCAAAAGGTCTAGAGCTTAGATATTTTGCATAAAGCATTGTCTGGTAGACCTCTACCAAGATTGTTCAAATTATAGCCCTGGGGTCAAAATCGGCCCAGCCCCGGGGGTCATTGATTTTCACTATATGTACATATAGTAAAAACTTAAAATACCTTCATGTAAAGACCCAAAAGGCTAAGAGCTTAGATATTTTGCATAAGGCATTGTCTGGTAGACCCTTAACAAGATTGTTCAAATGATAGCCCTGGGGTCAAAATTGGCCCCGCCCTGGGGGTCATTGATTTTCACTATATGTACATATAGTAAAAACTTAAAATACCTTCTTGTAAAGACCCAAAAGGCCTAGAGCTTAGATATTTTGCATAAGGCATTGTCTGGTAGACCTCTACCCAGATTGTTCAAATTATAGCCCTGGGGTGAAAATCGGCCCGCCCCGGGGGTCATTGGTTTTCCTTATATGTATATAGTAAGAACATATAGTAAAAACTTTAAAAATAAAATTCTAGCAATTGAGACAAATGCTAGAGGTTACATATTTTGCATGAAACATTGTGTAGTGAACCTCTAGCAAGATTGTTCAAATTATAGCCCTGGGGTCAAAATTGCCCCCGCCCCGGGGGTCATTGATTTTCAATATATACATATAGTAAAAAATCTTATTGTCTGAAGGTACAAGACTTAGAGTTTTAATATTTGTTAAATGATATCATCTATAGGTACTCTTCCAAAGTTGTTCAAATTTTTCCCTTGGTGTCAAAATTGGCCCTGCCCGGGGGCAGTGATTCTCATTATGTACACATAGTAAAAACAGAAAATAAAACAAATGTTTTCTGAATGGGAGAAAGCTACAGCTTAGATATTTGACTTGAAATGTTGTTTGGTGGACCTGTATCAAGATTGAATTAAACCCTTGGGTCAAAATTTTGCCTTGCCCAAGGGGAAAGTGACCTACTTTCTTGTCCTTTGATGTACAGCAATGGAATTTTGACCATGTGCACATTTTAAGTTGTAAAATTGAACTTTGATATCAGGTGACCTAGATTTTGATGATGTGACCTACTTTCTTGTCCTTTGATGTACAGCTATGAAATTTGAACCATGTACACAGATTAGGATGTAAAGTGAACTTTGATATCAGCTCACCTAGATTTTGACAAAGTGTCTTACTGTGTTGTCCTTTGATGTAGTCATGAAATTTAGGCTGTGTGAAATATGACCTTCACCACCAAATTCACCAGACTCAAGTGCATTGATATATTCCTACTCTGATCTTTTATTGGATTAACAATAGATTTAACCACTAATCTGATATTAAGAATTAGATAGGTCAGGGATCTATGCATTATGACAATCTTCAATTGTATAGAAACAAAACAAATCTGTTCCTACTCTACTATTTAGTGTTGTATTAATGCGGTGGCATAGCATTTTTCTCAAATGCAATCTTGTTTTTTCTTGCATGTCAATTATTTTCGGAACAGAAATTATAAAAACTGATATTCTCATTACGCACTTTTTAACCAGGTTTTCAACGAAAACCGGGTTATTGTAATGCCGAAGTCGGCGGGCGGGCAGGCGGGCGTCAACTTTTGGTTTCCGCTCAATAGCTTGAGTTTGCTTTGGCCTATTGACACCAAACTTGGTGTGTAGGTAGCTTATATCAAGAGGCAGCTTGGGATTGCTATCCAGGTGTCTGTGATCAAGGTCAAGGTCACTGTTACTAAAAATAGAAATTCAGTTTCCGCTCAATAACTTGAGTTTGTTTTGACCTATTGACACCAAACTTGGCGTGTGGGTAGCTTATATCAATAGGCAACTTGGACTTGCTACCCAGGTGTCTGTAATCAAGGTAAAGGTCACTGTTGCTAAAAAAGAAATTCAGTTTCCGCTCACTAACTTAAATTTGCTCAGGCCTATTGACACCAAACTTGGTGTGTGGGTAGCTAATATCAAGACGCAGCCTGGAATCGCTACCAAGGTTGCTGTGATTAAGGTCAAGGTCACTGTTGCTAAAAATAGAAATTCAGTTTCCGCTCAATAACATTTGTTTGCTTAGGCCTATTGACACCAATGGGTATGGATAGCTTATATCAAGAGGCAGCTTGGGAGCCCCAGGTGTCTGTGATCAAGGTTAAGGTCACTGTTGTTAAAACTTGAAATTCAGTTTCCTCTCAATAACTTGAGTTTGCTTTGGCCTATTGACACCAAACTTGGTGTATGGATAGCTTATATCAAGAGGCAGCTTGGGATTGCTACCCAGGTGTCTGTGGTCAAGGTCACTGTTACTAAAAATAGAAATTCAGTTTCTGCTCAATAACTTGAGTGTGCTTTGGCCTATTGACACCAAAATTTGTGTGTAGGTAGCTTATATCAAGAGGCAGCTTGGGATTGCTACCCAGGTGTCTGTTATCAAGGTCAAGGTCACTGTTACTAAAAATAGAAATTCAGTTTCCACTCAATAACTTGAGATTGCTTTGGCCTATTGACACCAAACTTGGTGTATGTATAGCTTATATCAAGAGGCAGCTTGGGATTGCTATCCATGTGTCTGTGATCAAGGTCAAGGTCACTATTATTAAAAATAGAAATTCAGTTTCTGCTCAATAACTTGAGTTTGCTTTGGCCTATTTGTGCTTAATTTGGTGTGTAGGTAGCTTATATCAAGAGGCAGCTTGGAATTGCTACACATGTGTCTGGGATCAAGGTCAAGGTCACTGTTACTAAAAATAGAAATTCAGTTTCAGCTCAATAACTTGAGTTTGCTTTGGCCTATTGACACCAAACTTGGTATATGGGTAGGTTATATCAAGAGGCAGCTTGGGATTGCTACCCAGATGTCAGTGGTCAAGGTCAAGGTCACTGATACTTAAATAGAAATTCAGTTTCAGCTCAATAACTTGAGTTTGCTTTGACCTATTGACACCAAACTTAATGAATGGGTAGGTTATATCAAGAGGTAGCTTTGGATTGCTACCCAGGTGTCTGTGATCAAGGTGAATATATTAAGTTTTCATGTAATAACTTGAGTTTGCTTTGACCTTTTGACACCAAACTTGCTGTGTGGCAGCTTTGGATTGCCACTTAGATATCTGGGAGCAAGGTCAAGGTCATTTGCCTACAATAGAATTTTCAGCTTCTACTCAATAACTTCAGTTCACTTTGACCTATTGATTGCTGTCACATCAAAACTTGGTCGTTGAAAACCTGGTTTTCGTCGCATTGCGGCGCTTCTTGTTTCTTATAGAAGCATATGAACATACAACTTCATTCATAACGGTAAAGTGACGTCATCATAAGAACACGATTCATTCATAAAAGGTACGCGTCAATGACGTCATTCAAAGCACGTGACTTGTCTTACATGGGGGGTGTAAGACAGAGTTTTCTAGCACCGGTGTAAACGGTAGATAATCCTGTCTGAGATGCAAGAAAAAAATGTCTTAAATTGTATAACAATCTGAAAAAGGGAAAAAAATATCACAGTTGTGTTATTACATTTTTTACAGGGAGCAGATTTTGTAGAATTTGATGTACATCTGACAAAAGATGAAGTACCTGTGATTTATCATGATTTCAAAATTCTCATAACTTACAGAAAGGTAAGTAGGAGGTGTGTGTGTGTGTGTTTTTGGTTTGGTTACATTTTCAATCATATTAAAATCATAAAAGGGAAAATAAACTGCATTTATAACCAACTATACATATGAGTCTAAAAGGGGTAACATGGCGGAGTGGTTAAGGTCGTTATTAAGTAGGTAAGTAATGCCTTTATGTAAAAAGGCTTACACATTCAGTTTCCCGATCTTCCATCTGGGCCTCAGCTGATGAACACAACATAATTACAATACATAAACAGTTTATATGACTACACAACATACATGAGGGTTGTCCAAAAATTTGTGCACTGCAGTTATTGTCGTGAGAGTTATTGATAAAAAAACATGAATTATATAACACTTCAATCGTTATACAGTTACCTTAGTAACGTTGTACCTGGGCATGACAAAAATTAGGTTAGTTCATTACTTTGATGCATCACAGTATCCTTAAAACAGTACATATAAATGTCAAAATATAGGGAAAAGTGTGTGTACGTGAAAATATGAAATTTGGTATGAAGCATTGTTTTTGTGACGCATAAATTATATCCACTTATGCAGTATATAGTAAAAACTCTACCAAGATTGTTCAAAATATAGCCCTGGGGTCAAAATTGATCATAACATGGGTTCATAGGTTTCCCTTTTATGTACATAGTAAAAACTTCCTAAGCTAGCTCTAGGTGAGATTTTGGGGTCTTTGAATGTCCGTTGTCCATCCACATTTGTTCCTTAACACTCTAGGGGTCACATTTTTGCCTCAATCATCATCTAACTTTGTCAGGATGCTTGTCTAGTTAATTGCTAGAATGAGTTCGAGCATGGGTCATCTCGGATGAAAAACTAGGTCACAGAAGCTAAAAATAGAAAAATCTTGTTAATACTCTAGTGGCTACTGTTTTGATCCAAATATCCTGGAAATTGGTCTGAAAGTTTGTTTTGATGGTTTCTAGGTAAAGTTCGAATATGGATCACCTGGGATCAAAAACTAGATCACATTGTCCAAATATTGAAAAACCTTGTTAAAACTCTTGTGGTCACATTTTTAGCTCACCTGAGCACAATATGCTCATGGTGAGCTATTGTGATCCCCCACGGTCCATCGTCCGTCATCAACAATTTCTTTAAACAACCTCTCCTCAAAAACCAATGACTGCACAGTAACTAAACTTTACAGGAATGATCCTTGGGTGGTCCCCTGCCAAAGTTGTTTAAATGGTTCCGGTCTGTTGCATAAGTAGGTCATTGGGCTAGAAAAGAGTTTAAAAAATGTAAACCTAAACAAATCTTCTTGCCTGAAAGTACAAAGCCTAGAGCTTTGATATTTGGTATATGATATCACCTATAGGTCCTCTACCAAAGTTGTTCAAATTATAGCCCTTTGATCAAAATTGGCCTCTCCCCAGGGAGGTTTTCCTTATATGTATATAGTAAAAACTTAAAAAATCTGCTATTTTGAAGGTACAAGGCTTAGAGCTAAGATATTTGGTATTTAATATCATCAATAGGTCCTCTAAGAAGTTGTTCAAATTCCCGTGGGTCAAAATTGGCCCAGCCCCTGGGTCACAGGGTTTCTGCTAGGAATTTTATTTAAGAGTCCCTAGGGACTCATGCTCCTAAAACATAGGGGTCCCAGAAAATTTTTTGAGGGTCCTAATTATTTCTTACTCTAAAATAAGGTATTAATTATAGATATTGTCTATGTTTACATTTATATAAATTGTACATTGCTGCTCCATTGCAACCTGCCCCCTTACTTCAGTAAAACACTCATGAATATACCTTGGCTCCCCCCCCCCCCCCCCCCCCCTTGCAAAACAAAAAAATAGTTGTTTTTTTTGCCAATTATATTTTTTTCACATAGATTTATAATGCACCGTATCCCCTATAAAATTTGATCAATGTAACAGTCAAGTATAATAAACAATCGTAATAAAGACACTTTACATGAGCAGCATGCACAGGTTATTATTAATCTGCTCTTTTGTTGTTTTACCTGTCGATCAGTCAGGCATCAATCTCAAATTATTCATACAGTAACTGTGGCATGGAAAGATCAATTGCTAAATTTAGTTAACCACATAATTATGCACAAAATTAATTTAAAAAGCCTGTACTTTTTATCCAATGCCAAAAAAGTTTTAGAAAGGATATAAAGGGTGTTTGAGTAACTAGGGGCACAACTAAAGCTGGAAATGTACTATGGAACTTTAATGGCTCTTTACATTTCACTTTACTTTTGGATGTTTTCTGTTTCATTTAAATATAATTAGTGTAATTAATTGACAATATAATATATGTTTACATTATGAAATTGTTTAAAAAAAAAATAATGTCAGTATTCATTGAACAGTAAGTAAAAATAATTAGCGGCAGTGGGTGGGGTAATGCGGTAATTTTGCAATGAGCCTTATATATCAGAACCTCATTTTTACGCATTGTTAAGCCCTTTGACCCCAAAATGAGTGTTATAAGGGGGCTGCAGCGTATGTTCTCGTACATAATCATTTTTATTGACGTTATATAAGATAAAAATTGAATTTGCGTCCCCATGGATGCAGGCACAGGATAAGTGAGGGTCCTAGGTTAATATTTTTGCGTCAAGGACGCAGGAAATGTGCGTCAATAGAAACCCTTGGTTGATAGGTTTTCCTTATATGTATAAAAGTAAAAACTTTAAAAACCTTCTCCTCTGAATTGACAAAGGCTTAGATATTTGGTATGTTATAATCACCTAAAGGTGCTCTACCAAAGTTGTTCAAATTATAGCCCTGGGATCAAAATTAGCCCTGCTCCAGGGGGTCATAGGTTTTCCTTATATGTATATTATAGTAAAAAGTTTTAAAAAATCTTCTTGTTTGAAGGTACAAGGCTTAGAGCTTAGATTTTTGGTATATAATATTATCTATAGGTCCTCTACCAAAGTTGTTCAAATTATAGCCCTGGGGTCAAAATTGGCCCCGCCCCAGGGTCATAGGTTTTCCTTATACATTGTATGTATAATAGTAAAAACTTAAAAAACCTACTCCTCTGAATTGACAAAGGCTAGAGATTAGATATTTGGCATAAAGCATTTTGTAGTGGAACTCTACCAAGATTGTTCAAATTATAGCCCTAGTGTCAAAATTGGCTCAGCACCAGGGGTCATAGGATTTCCTTATATGTATATAGTAAAAACTGTTCCCATCCACAAACTTTAACCTTGATCATAACTTTAAAGTTCTTGGTGTATTGTCTTAAAACATCAACTTATTACCTACACCAAAAAATTAACCCTGTTTTGTATATTTTTAAGACCTCCTGTAACTTCACTTTTGTATATCAATTGCATTTAGTACTGTGTGAGAGCATTAGGGCCAATGGCCCCCTTGTTTACTCAATTGTCATCAAACTTGGTCAGAATGCTTGTCTAGTTAATTGCTCATATGAGTTTGAATATGGGTCATCTCAGATGAAAAACAAGGTCACAGGAGCTAAAATTAGAAATTTTTTCTTAACACTCAAGTGGCTACTGTTTTGATCCAAATATCCTGGATATTGGTCTGAAAGTTTTTTTTGATGATTTCTAAGTCAAGTTCAAATATGGATCACCTCCGGTCAAAAACTAGATCACACTGCCCAAATATGGAAAAAACCTTGTTAACACTCTAGTGGTCATATTTTTGACTCAATTTTCGTCAAACTTGGTCAGGATGCTTGTCTAAGTAATTGCTCAGATGAGTTCGATTGGCCCTCTTGTTTAAATTATAGCCCTTGGATCAAAATTGACCCTGTCCCAGGGGGGTCATAGGTTTTTCTTATATGTATATAGAAAAAGACTTAAACTCTTTTCCTCTTTAGAAAGGCTAGAGGTTATATTATTATTTGAAGCATAATTATAAAGGAATAATTATACCCCTACAAACGAAGTTTTGGGGTGTATATAGGTTTTGTAATCCAACTTATATAGCAACTTTATATGGAAACCCAGGTTGGCATTGCATTTGGACCCCTTGGGGTCAAGGTCTTAGTTACTAAAAATAGAAAAATGGTTTCTGGAAAATAACTAGAGTTAGGAATGAGATATTGTCATCAACTTGGTGTATAGCAAGCTTATATGAAGATCCCGGTTCTGATTGCAATTAATTGAAATAATTCTTTATACAAAGTTGATACTTAAGTTGAGTTCACATTTTTCTTCAGACTACTTATTTTTCTAAAACTCACTGGTGGGGGTATTAATCACCTTAAGTGATAACTATTGTTCTGTTTGATTAACAATGAAATTTATTATTCAGAAAAAGCGAGATGACCTGGAGTTGTTTGAGGTGCCTGTGAAGGATATTGCTTTATCTGAACTTCAACAGATGAAGGTAGACTTTAAACTTGAAATTTGATCTGATATTTCTTATGCTCTAAATTTATGAATTGGGTAAGAATGCTTAGACTTAAGAAGGTTTGCATGAAAATCAAATGAAAAATGTAATTTATGGACATATTTCATCCAGAACATACTAAATTATTATGCATAGTCATATTAGACTTTCGTCTAGAATGTAAATTCATGTCATTGGCGAGAACTTGGAAGATGAGCTTTTAGGATCTTTGAATGTCTGTCCTCTGTCGTCTGTCTACATTTAGATTTTTAACACTAGCGGATATATTTTTGCCTCAGTTGTCACTAAACTTCAAATTTCTCGGATGTATTTTACCTTGTGTCATTTCGGATGAAAAACTAGGTCACAGGTGCCAAACATATTGTTACACTTGGACCAGATATCCTGGAAATTGCTCAAAAATGTTGTCCTAAGACCTATTTGTTGGTTTCCAATAAAATAACATGCTTGTTTGACTAAACAAAATGTCCACTATGGTACACCATATATTCCGTGGTAGAAAGATGCACAATACTGTGTTGCAAATTTATTCAAATATATGCCACATAATAGCCACCCATAAAGAAAAATCTTCCAAAAAGTATGCCACTGAAGATCCTTCTATAGAGATATTTTAGTTTCAATATAATTAAAGTAACACATTTTTTTGAAAGATTTGTTTAAACCTTTTATTTGTTTGCTTGTAGAAAGTGTTTAAAAACAAGCATTGTCCCGATCCAGCAGTGGCTCTTGTTTGTATTGAGAGCTACATCATGAAAATTTGAAAATCAACCACAGTTTTTGATGCAGATTTGAACTATGATTACAGTTTACCTAGATTTTGACCCAGTGTCCTACATATTTGTATTAAAAGCTACAGCTATGAAAATTGGACTATACCCACTGTTTAAGATAAGGATTAGAACTTTGATACCAGTTGACCTACTTTTTAGTCCCCTACCGGTTTAACCGGAGGGACTTTAGGTTTACCCTCCGTCCGTCTGTCTGTATGTCCGTCTGTCTGTCAGTCCGTCAGTCAGTCCGGCCGTCCACGAAACTGAATCCCGCGATAACGCAAAAAGTACTGAAAATAATTTTATGAAACTTGATATATGGATAGATGGCAGTATGGGGATTATGCACATCTTTTTCTTTTCTTCCTATGTTGAAAATTCTTGTTGATATGGCAACAAATAGTCTGAAAATATGGCAAATTTAACACATAAACTGGATCCAGTGATAACTCAAAAAGTACTGAAAATATTTTTATGAAACATAAAATATGGGTAGATGGCAGTCTGCAGATTATGCACATCTTTTTCTTTTCTTCCTATGTTGAAAATTCTGGTTGCTATGGCAACAAATAGCCTGGATTTCAAGATTTCTGATTTAATTTTTTCAGCTTTTTCACTATAAGTTCTTTATTTCTTAAGGTGTTTACTTCAAACTTTAAATATAAGTTTCTGGTCATCAACCACATCATATGTAACAAGGTTTACAACTCTAGCACAAAAATTATCAGTATTACCTCCCTTGAACTTAGAATTTTTATGGAAAAAAAGTTGTCTTTTTTAAATAACTTCTTTATTTCCTAATGTATCTACTTCAAACTTCATATATATGTTTCTTATTATCACTCAACATTTTTGAGAAGGTTAAATACTCTAGCAAGACTATTTCCAGAATTATGTCCCCCTTGAACTTAGATTTTTTTCGAGAAATTGGTATTTTTTACTCCAACTTCTTCATTCCTTATAGGATTTACTTTAAAATCCCACATCGTAATAATATGATTGTTTGTTTGTTTGTTTGTTTCATTTTACGCCTTTTTCCAACAGTATTTCAGTCATATAGGCGGGTAGTTTCCTATCCATCGTTCCTGGAGAGTTACACCAGTACTAGACTACCTTCCTCCGCGCTAAACTATGACAAGGTTGTATAAACATAATTGCCTTACTAGGCAGGGAAACTTAACACATTACTGTGAAATAGACAAACTTAGAACTCAAAAGATTTAAGTTCATTCATGTCATAGAACTCAAAAGATTTAAGTTCATTCATGTCATAGAACTCAAAAGATTTAAGTTCATTCATGTCATTCATTCACTGGTAAAATTGAAATCAGAATGTTGCTGGGGTTCTAACCGGTATGGGACTTATGGATTGCTTGCAATACTATGATAATTGCTTGTTTATCAAGTTACATACATTTTAGCTTATCTGAGCATTATAGGTCTAGTTCAGCCAGTGTTTCTAAGGTGAGCAATAAAGGACCTTTTTGGTCCTCTTGTTTATTGTTAAAAAAATCATGACAGTATACCAAGTAACATATTTTGTTCGATGAAATTTTAAGATATATTTTTCGCTTCTTCTCCAAAATGGCAAAATATACACCAATTTAAAACCACAAATTTTGGGCTAAAATTGCGAAAATATGCCTACACCAAAATATCCTGTAGTACAGTATAGTCAGATGCAGTTTAATAAGATGACAAATTATATCTTTGTAGCTATCTCATCCTGCTTACCAGAGGGAACATAAATATGGTGAGTCTCATTATGTGCACTAGGAAAATTGTTCATATGTTTGAAGACCTTTGAGACATGTTATGTTATATTGTTGTACGATGATTTTCCCTCCATTTGTCCTTCAGTCCATTAAAGCTGCACGTCTCCAGATGAGCAAAAAAATTTCAATAAAATCAAACCTGAGAAAAATGTATTAAGATTTTAGGAAAAGTACAAAGATTCAAAATTCTAGAAATAGTTTGCATGTTATATGCGATTAACGACATCTATTTCAGCATTTATAACTATTTTTCTACTGTGTAACTAACGCAGTAAGGGCTATTTTTGTATATTTTGACCTCATTTTGGTAACATACATGGGTTGTAATGCCATTTATAATGTGTAAATTGCATTCTTTTGGTAAATTTACAATATTATTCATTTAAATACATTTTCAATTTTTCATGAAAATTAACATGAATCTGGAGGCGTGCTGCTTTAAACCAGAAAAACTAGATCCCCTGATGACACAAAAATTACTGAAAATATTGTTATGAAACTTTAATATGGGTAGATAACAGTCTGGACATTATGCACGTCTTTTCCCTTCTTCCTATATTGAAAAATTTGGTTGCTATGGCAACAGATGGACTAAAAATATGGAAAATATGAAACTTGAAAAATGGAAAGATGGCAGCATGGAGATTGTTTTACATCATTTTAAGCTAGACAATACAGAGTATATCTAGAGCTCTCCTACTCACCCAGCTTTGGTGACCGCGTCCAGTTATCTTAAATTTCTGAAGGTATCTACATTAAATATATGTTTCTGATCATCAACCACATTATATGTAACAAGGTTCACAACTGTTGCACCAAAATAACCAGAGTAACCCCCTTTTACTTTGAATTTTAATGAAATAATGTTTTTTTATACCACCATTAGGGAGGGCATTTAGATTTGCCCTTGTTCGTCATCCATGCGTGCATTCGTGCTTGCGCTCTCATGTTGTGTCACATGTAGCTCTAAAAGTGCTTGAGCTAGGGTCAACAAACTTTACAGAAATGTTGATCAGCATGTGAAGTTGTTGTCCTGGGATTTTAAATGTGGATTACTTCAGTTTTGTCATAGTTATTGCCCTTGACTATGTTAAAATGAAACTTGACAAAAATGTTGGTTTGCATGTGTTATGTGCACGTAGTGGTTTGCTTGTGGATTAATTATTTGTAGAGTTATTGTCCTTGACTCAGTAAATATTTCAAAGTTTAACTTGTGTCAGACATAGCCCAAAAAAGTATTTTACCTAGTGTCATGAAACTTTACAGAAATGTTTGTCTGCATGTGAAGTTGTCAATTTGGGGTTTGGTTTTTGGATTATTATACCCTCGAAACGAAGTTTGGGGGGGTATATAGGAGTCACTCGGTGGTTGGTCGGTGGGTCAGTCGGTCCTGCCGTCCGTTGCATTTTCCTTGTCTAGAGCATAACTTGAAGAAGACTAATTGTTGGAATTCAATACAACTTCATACAATGGTCAAGCACATTGAGAGGAAGTGCAGTGCACAAGAACCATAACTCCATCTTCACTAATTACAGAGTTATTGCCCTTTGTTACTTTTCCTTGTCTGGAGCATAACTTGAAAACTACTGGTTGGAATTCAAAACAACTTCATATAATGGTCAAGCACAATAAGGGGAAGTGCAGGGCACAAGAACCATAACTCTATCTAAAGTTACAGAGTTATTGCCCTTTGTTACTTTTCCGTTGCTTTCTTTTGTCCGGACCATAACTTGAAGAGTATTGGTTGGAATTCAATATAACTTCATACAATGGTCAAGCACATCGAGAGGAAGTGCAGTGCATAAGAACCATAACTCCATCTTAACTAGTTACAGAGTTATTGCCCTTTGTAACTTTTCCTTGTCCGGAGCATTATTTGAAAACTACTAGTTGGAATTCAAAGCAACTTCATACAATGGTCAAGCACAATAAGAAGAAGTGCAGTGCACAAAAACCATAACACTTTCTTAAGTAATTACAGAGTTATTGCCCTTTGTTACTTTTCCATTGCTTTTTTTTGTCCGGAGCATAACTTGAAGACTAATGGTTGGAATTCAATACAACTTCATACAATGATCAAAAACATTGAGAGGAAGTGCAGTGCACAAGAACCATAACTCCATCTTGACTAATTACAGAGTTATTGTCCTTTGTTACTTTTCCTTGTCCAGAGCATAACTTGAAAACTACTAGTTTAAATTCAATACAACTTTATACAATCGTCAAGCACATTAAGGGGAAGTGCAGTGCACAAGAAGAATAACACCATTTTGACAAATTACAGAGTTATTGTCCTTTGATACTTCTCCGTGTCAGGAGCATAACTTGTAAAGTACTGGTTGGAATTCAAAACAACTTCATACAATGGTCAAGCACAATAAGAGGAAATGCAGTGCACAAGAACCATAACTCTGTCCAGAGTAATTATAGAGTTATTGCCCTTTGTTACTTTTTTATTGTGCCTCGGTGGTTGAGGGATTAGAGTCGATGACTTCTAATCCAGTTACCTCTCTGGTGTGGGTTTGATCCCCGGGAGATGCTTTGGTAGTTTAGCACGGAGAAAGGTAGTCTAGTACTGGTGTAACTCTCCAGGAACGATGGTTAGGAAACTACCCACCTATATGACTGAAATACTGTTGGGAAAAGGCGTAAAATGAAACAAACAAACAAACAAACAAATCTTTCTTGTCCAGAGTATAACTTGAAAACTACTGGTTGGAATTCAATACAATTTCATACAATGGTCAAGTATATTGAGAGAAAGTGCAGTGCACAGAAACCATAACTCTTTCTTGATTCATTAAAGAGTTTTTGCCCTTTGTTACTTTTTATTGACCAATGTATAACTTGAAAATTTATGGTTGTTTTTGCCCTTTGTTACTTTTTATTGACCAGTGTATAACTTGAAAATTTAAGGTTGGAATTCAAAGAAACTTTATACAATGGTCAAGGGCAGTGAGATGAAGTGCAGTGCACAAGAAACATAACTCCATCTTCAGTATTTGTAGAGTTATTGCCCTTTGTTCTTTTTCCTTGTCAGGTGCATAACTTAAAATCTATTGTTTAGAATTCAATGAAACTTCATTCAATAGTGAAGTGCAATGAGAGGAAATGCAGTGCTCAAGAAGCATAACTCTTTTTGGACTTATTAACCAGGTTTTCAACGAAAACCGGGTTATTGTAATGCCGAAGTCGGCGGGCGGGCAGGCGTCAACTTTTGGTTTCCGCTCAATAACTTTAGTTTGCATTGGCCTATTGACACCAAACTTGGTTTGTAGGTAGCTTATATCAAGAGGCAGCTTGTGATTGCTACTCAGGTGTCTATGATCAAGGTCAAGGTCACTGTTACTAAAAATAGAAATTCAGTTTCCGCTCAATAACTTGGGTTTGCTTTGGCCTATTGACACCATACTTGATGTATGGATAGCTTTTATTAAGAGGCAGCTTGGGATTGCTTCCCAGGTGTCTGTGATCAATGTCAAGGTCACTGTTACTAAAAATAGAAATCCAGTTTACGCTCAATAACTTGAGTTTGCTTTGGCCTATTGACACCAAACTTGGTGTATGGATAGCTTATATCAAGAGGCAGCTTGGGATAGCTACCCAGGTGTCTGTGATCAAGGTCAAGATCACTGTTACTAAAAATAGAAATTGAGTTTCCGCTCACTAACTTGAGTTTGCTTTGGCCTATTGACAAAAAACTTGGTGTATGTATAGCTTATATCAAGAGGCAGCTTTGTATTGCTACCCAGGTGTCTGTGGTCAAGGTAACTGTTACTAAAAATAGAAATTCAGTTTAAGCTCAATTTAATTGCTTTGACCTATTGACACAAAACTTGGTGTATGGATAGCTTATATCAAGAGGCAGCATGGGATTGCTGCCTAGGCGTCTGTCATCAAGGTCAAGGTCACTGTTACTAAAAGAAAAATTCAGTTTCAGCTCAATAACTTGAGTTTGCTTCGGCCTATTGACACCATACTTGGGAGGAATGGGTAGCTTATATCAAGAGGCAGCTTTGGATTGCTACCCAGGTGTCTGTGATCAAGGTTAATGTATTAGAATTCATGTTATAACTTTGACCTTTTGACACCAAACTTGCTGGGTGGCAGCTTTGGATTGCCACTTAGATATCTGGGAGCAAGGTCAAGGTCATTTGCTTACAATAGAATTTTCACTTTCTACTCAATAACTTCAGTGCACTTTGACCTATTGATTGCTGTCATCGTTGAAAACCTGGTTTTCGTCGCATTGCTGCGCTTCTTGTTACAGAGTAATTCCAATGATCAACCTCATTGAAAGGAAATGCAACATACCAGAACTACACCTGTCTTTAATTGCTAGGTCACTAGGTCAAAGGTCAAGGTCACAGGGGCCTTAAAGTTCAAAATGGTTTCCGCTCATTATCTTGAAAAGAATCCATCACAAAATTGTCATACTTCACATAGTCATAACTAGTAGATGACCCATATGAATTTTGGGGTCAAAGGTCAAGGTCACAGGGGCCTTAAATGTCAAAATGGTTTCCGCTGATTATCTTGAAAAGTATTCATCACATAGTCGTCATATTTCACATAGTGATTGTTCATAAATAGTAGATGACCCTTATTGATTTTGAGGTCAAAGGTCAAGGTCACAGGGACCTTAAATGTCAGAATGGTTTCCACTGATTATCTTGAAAAGTGTTCATCACAAAGTCTTCATATGTCACATATTGATTGGTCATCACTAGTAAAATGCCCCTATTGATTTTGGGGCCGCTATGTCAAAGGTCAAGGTCAATGGGGCCTTAAATGTTAGAATGGTTTCTGCTGATTATCTTGAAAAGTATTGTTCACAAAGTCGTGCTATTTCACATATAGATTAGTCATAACTAGTAGATGACCCCAATTGATTTTGGGTCATAAGGTCAAAGGTCAAGATCACATGGGCCTAAAATGTCAGAATGGTTTCTTCTCATTATCTTGGTTACAATTAATCCCAAAATCTTCATATTTCACATATTGATTGGTCATAAGTAGTAGATGACCCTATTGATTTTGGGGTCACAAGGTCAAAGGTCAAGGTCACAAGGGCCTTGAATGTTAATATGATTTCCGCTTATTATCTTGGTTACTATTAATCACAAAGTCTTCATATTTCACATATTGATTGGTCATAACTAGTAGATGACCCCTATAGATTTTGGGGTCAAAGGTAAAGGTCACAGTGGTCTTGCATGATCATAAGATTTCCGCTTATTATCATGGTTACTATTTATCACAAAGTCTTCATATTTCACATATTGATTGGTCATAACTAGTAGATGACCCCTATTGATTTAAGGGTCACTAGGTCAAAGGTCAAGGTCACAGGGGCCTAAAATGTCTGAATGGTTTCCGCTGATTTTTAATGAAAAGTATTCATCACAAAGGATACATATTTCACATAGTGATTGGTCATAACTAGTAGATGGTCCCTATCGATTTTGGGTCACTAGGTCAAAGGTCAAGGTCAAGGGGCATTAAATGTCAGAATGGTTTCCGCTCATTATCATGGTTACAATTCATCACAAAGTTTTCATATTTCACATATTGATTGGTCATTACTAACTGATGACCCTTATTGATTTTAAGGTCACTAGGTCAAAGGTAAAAGTCACAGAGGCCTTGAATGTTAATATGATTTCCGCTTATTATCTTGGTTACTATTTATCACAAAGTATTCATATTTCACATATTGATTGGTATTAACTAGTAGATAACCCCCATTTATTTTGAGGTCACCAGGTAAAAGGTCAAGGTCACAGGGTCTTTGAATGGTAGAGGATTTCAGCTCATTATCTTGAAAGATAATTATCTCAAAGTATTCATATTTCACATAGTGATTGGTCATAACCAACAGATGATCCGTATTGCTTTTGGGGTCACTAGATCACAGGGGCCTTAAATGTCAGAATAGTTTACACTTATTATCTTGAAAACTATTCATCACAAAGTCTTCATATTTTTAATATTGATTGGTCATAACTAGTAAGTGACCCCTATTGATTTTGTGGTCACTAGGTCAAAGGTCAAGGTCACAGGGGCCTTAAATGTCTCATTATCTTGAAAACTATTTATCGTAAAGTCTTCATTACTTTTCTTTTTTCCATAATTGAATACTTCAATGTACCCATTTATGGCAAGTTTCTCTAACAAAATTACCAATAATGTGAGTCAAGGGCTAGAAAGGGGGCCAAATGTGTTGTTCCACATTTCTTATTCATTAGGGATTTGCTTGTGGATTTATTCAGTGTTTGTAGAGTTATTGCCCTTGACTTAGTAAAATATTTCCAATTTGGGTAAGTCAAATTTTTTTTTACCTAGAGTCATGATACTGTACAGGAATGTGCCAGCACGTGTAGTTGTACATCTGGGGTATTGATTGTTTTTATTTTCTTTAAAACATACTTAAAGATATAAAATTGAATTTTGAAATTTTCAATTTTTGGAAAATCAATATTTCATCATTTGAAAAATTAGATGCCTTTTTTATATGCCCAAACCACATAGGGGCAGGGGGAGTCATGTAGAATTTTTCTTTGCCTATCCCTCTGTTATACTGTCCTGCTGTACATCATCAGTAGACTGACAAAACAGTGGAATGTGTGGGCAGCCGTGTCTTATGGTCACTTGACCATTTCATGAATTATGTCCCTCTATTTAACTTAGATTTTTTTCTAGAAATTATTCTTTATTTTTTACAGGATTTACTTCAAACTACCACATCATAATAATTAGACATAATTGGCTCATAAAGTATAATTAACAGTAAGATTCAATAAGTTTTTTCTATTAAAAGAAAGTTTGCCATTGCAAAATAACTTACATTCTTGGCATAGCCAATTTGCCATAAGAACACAAACTTTCTATGAATTTTTACAAAAGTAACGAGTTTAGAAAGATAGAAAAACAAATCATGTTATCTTTGACACTTTATGTAATGTAACAATTTTCATTTAAATAGTTTTTATGCCCCCACAGAGTGGGAGCATATAGCGTTGCACTTGTCCGTCCGAGTGTCAGTCCGTCCGTCAGTCCGTCCGTACGTCCCGAAATCTTGTGAACGCAACTCCTCTTAAACCGCATGGCAGATTTTGCTTAAACTTACAGGGATGAACAACCTTAATGTGTAGATGGTAGTAAAGGAAGGAATTTTCGCTGCGACCAAATTTAACAGAATTATGGCCCTTTGTTGATTTTTTCACTAGATACTATGAAGAAATTTTGTGAACGCAACTCCTCTTAAACCGCATGGCAGATTTTTTGCTCAAACTTACAGGGATGAACAACCTTAATGTGTAGATGGTAGTAAAGGAAGGAATTTTTGCTGCGACCAAATTTAACAGAATTATGGCCCTTTGTTGATTTTTTCACTATATACTATGTAGAAATTTTGTGAATGCAACTCCTCTTAAACCGCATGGCAGATTTTGCTTAAACTTACAGGGATGAACAACCTTAAGGTGAAGATGGTAGTAAAGGAAGGAATTTTTGCTGCGACCAAACTTTACAGAATTATGGCCCTTTGTTGATTTTTTCACTATATACTATATAGAAATTTTGTGAATGCAACTCCTCTTAAACCGGATGGCAGATTTTGCTTAAACTTCCAAGGATGAACAACCTTAATGTGTAGATGGCAGTAAAGGAAGGAATTTTCGCTGCAACCAAATTTAACAGAATTATGGCCCTTTGTTGTTTTTTTCATTATATACTATGTAGAAATTTTGTGATTGCAACTCCTCTTAAACCGGATGGCAGATTTTGCTTAAACTTCCAGGGATTAACAACCTTAATGTGTAGATGGTAGTAAAGGTAGGAATTTTTGCTGCGACCAAGTTTAACAGAATTATGGCCCTTTGTTGATTTTTAGTTTTCAACTTGTGGCACATGTAGTCCAAAAAATATTTGACCTAGAGTCATAAGATTGACAGAACAGTGGTGTGTGGGGGCATCCGTGTCCTATGGACACATTTCTAGTTTATTTTTTTAAAACATGTAAACTATGTGTTGAATTTTCCAAAAACTGATGCTTAAAGTAGTACACTCATGTATATTAATTATATACTGAGCATTTAGCTGACTGAACTTAGAAGGAAATAGCCAAGACCATATGAAAGTGAAAATGGAGACCAAACAATATGGAAAATTTGAAACTTTAGGCAAATGAAAAAAGGAAGTTTAGTTTAAGAAGAAAATATAGAAGTATGAAAATCTGACTTATTCTAAATGAGAAAGATAAATGTTAAAAGGGATTCTCAGGCAAATATATAACAAAATAACAAATTTATCATATTTACTAAAATCACACTAAAATGAAGTTTTTAAAAGTCCCAGCACATTTTTTTTCTCTATAAATACTATTTAATGTGAGTTTGAAACGTTAATAAATCTACATGTGTTGAACGAAAAGAAGACAGAATCAACAAATGGTTTTAAAGCAAGTCATTTGACAATAACAAACCTTGGATGATTAAAAACAAACATTGTGGATATAGTAAGATTGAAACAAGTGTAAGTCGCTCATTTGACAGGATCTTTTACGTTTCTTTAGTTCACTGTGGTAACTATCTTAAAATCTGAACGTTCTAACCTGACCCATGTGTGTCAGGTTAGGAAACCAACTTCTTTTCTTTATATGGAGAAAAGTTTTGGTCTCTAGACTGCTTAGTGTATTCAATTTGATGATATTTATAGAATATTGGATGAACAATTCAAATCGCAGATATAAAAATATTTCCTGTGTCTTTAAGACTAACAATATATTCATAGCTAGAAAAAAAAAATGGAAACCTTGATAAAATATGAAAGCCTAAACCAAGAAACAATTGAATCTTTGGTTTAAAACAAAATGGAAGATAAAACTTAAAAAGTGTATACATGTAAAACTTTTTTGTCAAATCATTGTCATAATGAAAATGTGTTCATTTGTAATAATAAGTTTAATGTTGCTTTAATACAACAAGTATTGTGTTATTTGTTTTGATAGAGGGTATACAAGAAGATGACATGGATCCAGAAGATCTCCAGCCATTCCCTACCTTAGAACGTTTATTTGATACTGTTGACAAACATACAGGCTTCAATGTTGAAGTTAAATACCCATTGTTAAAAGCGGTAAGTAACTTGCTGAGTTTCTTAAATTGAATTGTCCTTATTCCATTCTAAAGCTATCCATTAATTTATAGGATATCAAGATGAAAATTGAAAATTATTCAGCCTGGTCAGACTGTGGAATGCAGGCTGTCTTTGACAAAGATAATCACTTTGGAGGTAGTGGGAATTATACTTGAATCACTGTCAAGTTGATCTGTGTGTAAAAGTCTGTTTTCATCACAAAAATTATAAAGTCCTTGAAGGATTTTCTTCTAGCGTGGCTCAAATGTCCAGCTCCACATGGTGAAATGCAGAACCAATGTCACCCATATGCTGGCTCAAGGTGTCACTTCAGGGTAGGTATCAGCCAATTTCACATTGTCTACTGTAAAAATTCTGTAACCTTTGAAAGATTCACTTCAAACTTAGCTCAAATGCCATTATTAATAAGGCCAAGTGCAGAATTTAGTCACCCTTATACCAGCTAAAGATCAAGGCCACATTCAAAGGATAAATGTCAGTCCCATTTTTCTTCATGTTTTTACCTTTTTTGGCTCAACAAGATGCAGCAACAGTGCCACAATTTCCTGCCTGAAGATGAAGAGAACACTTAAATGTCAAATGTCAAACAATAAATAACATGTCCTCTTTATAAATGCTATACCCCTTTAAAGATTTTCTTTAAACCTAACTTAAATGTTCACCTCAACAATGTTATGTATTTTACTCATGGTGCTCAGCGGTGCTGGCTCAATGTCAAGGTTAGACAGTTTTGTGTTGCAGTATAAGTTCTGTACCTTTTGAAGGACTTTCTTCAAACTTAAATGTTTACCTAAAAAAAAAAGTTAAATGGACCCATGTACAGGGTTCGTACAGTCTTAAAAAATGCTAAAATTTGAGTCTCTTTCTTAAAAAGTGCTTAAAAATGTAAAAAAAGTGCTTAAAAGTCCTTGAATTTGATTACTCTTTTGAAAAGTGCTTAAATTTGCTAAAAATGTGCTTGAAAATGTTTGAATCACAGAATGACATAGTTTTGATAAAAATCAACGGTTAACAAAATAAAAAAAAAGATACAATTTAGTATCAAAATCAATGAATTGTTTAATCAAGGTAACAGTAAGTGGACAAATTGCAGTTGTTTTGAACTAGTACTTGATGCACCCTTTGTTGTTCTTCTATAATGTCAGAAAATGTGTATTCAACAAAAAATGGTGAACAAACTATCCATCATAGGGTGAAGATTGTGTCGGTATATGTGCAACAAATGTGCTTGAAAAATGGGGAAAAGATTATAAAAAATTAACTACTTTGCTTTCATTAGTTTAGTCTAAATTATAATCTGCTGTTGTAATGTACTTTGAGATGAATTAGTGATGTCTTACTTTATATGATATCAAGTGACCTATATCATAACCTAGTGAAGTGCCTATTGTGAGCTATTGTGTCAATCATGCATCATTGGTTATCAACTTTTGTTTCAAACAACATCACCTAAACCATTGTACCTTTGATCCCGTGATATTACAAAAGGTACTGAAAATATTTTTTTGAAACTTGAAATATTGGAAGATGGCATTCTGGAGATTATGCACATCTTCTTTTTTTTCTTATGTTGAAAAATCTGGTTGCTTTGACAACAAATAGACTTAAAATTAACAAGTATAACAATACTTGTGATAACTGACAAAGTGCTGAAAATATTTTTACAATACTTTGAATATGGATAGATGATAGTTTGGAGATTAAGCACACGAAGGTTCGCAACTCTGGCACCAAAATTATTAGATTAACTCACCCCTTGAACTTTAAATTTTTGTGAAAAAATTTGTGCCCCCACTATGGGAGGGGGGGGGGGGGATTTAGATTTACCCATGTCTGTTCGTCCTACCTTTTGTTCTCATGTTGTGTTGCATGTAGATCAAAAAATATTTAACATAGAGCCATGATACTTTACAGAAATGTTGATCAGCATGAAAGTTTTGCACCTGGGGTTTTGCTTGTGGATTGATTCTATTTTGTCAGAGTTATTGTCCTTGACAAAGTAAAAATTATCAATTTTCAATTTGTGTCGTGTGTAGCTCAAAAAATATTTAACCTATAGTCAGGAATGTTTGTCAGCATGTGAAGTTGTGCATCTTGGTGGTTTTATTGTGGATTTATTGGCGTCCGCGCCGAAGCGCGGCGCCCTTATGGAATGAAATCAGATTTTGTGAAAGGGCAACAGCAACTTCTCGAGCCTTTTAGTCGGTCATAATAAAAGCCGATCATTCTGATCGGTATGAGGGTGCTTGGTTATTAATTAAGAATGAAATGTCGCGATATGTTACAATGAATAGCTAACTGGAGAATTTCGCAATGCAAACATTTTCAAATGAAATAACCTTTTCCGTCAATAAATCGCGCTCTTCAGGGTTTTTTATTTATCATTTTGTAGTACACAGTGGGTTGTCATGGTATGTTATTGTTGTACATGTATCCTAGAAAGATCAGTTGATGACCTAAATATTCCAAAAATCTATTTATAGATATATCTATTTATCACTCCTATCGGTAATTACCGGTCTCTCTCGGTCTATTTTGACCGGGATTTACTAGTGACCGGCGAATAGTACCACACGTTTATTGTCCGGTCTCTCTCCGGTTTTGGAGTAGATGTTTGATATTGTTACAATTAGAAAAAAAACAACAACAACAGCATGTTTCATTTTATCTATATGAGATAAAAACAATAAATATGTACACGGATTTATATGTAATATAAATCCGTGATATGTACAATAATTGAGAAAAAGGTACATTTTTATGGTATTAAAATGACATTATCAACTTTGAAACATTTTATTAGCTCGACTATTCGAAGAATATGAGAGCTATTGTAGTCGCCCCGGCGTCGGCGTCGGCGTCAGCGTCCGCGTCCGCGTCTGCGTTGGTTAAAGTTTTTTGTGAAGTCAAATATCTCAATTATTACTTGAGATATTCAATTGAAACTTACAATACTTATTTATAGTAACAAGGCTCATCAGATTGACAAGTTGGATAACTCTGCCTACAATATTGACAGAATTATGCCCCTTTTTAACTTAGAAATTTTGGTTAAAGTTTTTTGTAAAGTCAAATATCTCAATTATTATTTGAGATATTCAATTGAAACTTACAATACTTATTTATAGTAACAAGGCACATCAGATTGACAAGTTGGATAACTCTGCCTACAATATTGACAGAATTATGCCCCTTTTTAACTTAGAAATTTTGGTTAAAGTTTTTTGTAAAGTCAAATATCTCAATCAATGCTTGAGATATTCAATTGAAACTTACAATACTTATTTATAGTAACAAGGTGCATCAGATTGACAAGTTGGATAACTCTGCCTACAATATTAACAGAATTATGCCCCTTTGGAACTTAGAAATTTTGGTTAAAGTTTTTTTGTAAAGTCAAATATCTCAATTATTGCTTGAGATATTCAATTGAAATTTAAAATATTGTTTTATAGTAACAATGTACATCAGTTTGCAAAATTGCATAACTCTGCCTGCAATATTTGCAGAATTATTCGCCCCTTTGAAACTTAGAAATTTTGGTTAAAGATTAAAGGTCTTCAAAGATATTTACTTGAAACTTTACACATGCACTTAGGGTCATAATTGGAGGGTCATAATTGTATGTCACTGACCAAGTTCCATAACTCTATCTTGCATTAAGGCTGATTCATATCCCCTTTTCTACTTAGTCTCTTGGTTAATGTTTACATGCAAGTTTTACATATCTCAATAACTATTAAAGATATTTATTAAAAACTTCACATATGCATTTAGGGTCATAATTGTAGGTCACTGACAAAGATCCATAATTCTATCTTGCATTTAGGCTGATTTTTCTCCCCTTTTTCAACTTAGAAATTCATGGTTAAGTTTTTCTTGTAAGTTGTTATCTCAATAACTACTGAAGGGTTTGTGCCTTTTTCGGGACAATTTTATGCATTCATAATAATAAAGCAGTGATTTACTTGATAAAACATCTTAATAACAAGCCTTTGTACCTTTTCTGTCAAATTTATTTATTCATAGGTAATTAGTATTATTATACTCAATAAAACACCCTTGTGACATTACCTTCCGAATAGTCAAGCCAATACTGTATAATTAGACTCTCTCTTAGGCCTATAACATGAATTTATAAAAAAAAATTAGCCCTTTTGTGAACTTAAAAAATTAAACAATATCAAGGCTCTTTTACTATCATGCACTTAGAATAGTCGAGCGTGCTGTCCTACAGACAGCTCTTGTTTAATTTGTTATCCGTGTTTAGTAAAGATGCCGAGGAATTATTCAAAGTTACAAATTAGATTTTATGAATTATTCAATTGATTGATAATTTAAAAAATGATAAAGAAAAATACAAATGTACATGTACATGGTTTAAAAATAAACTATATTAAAAGATAAACCATAATTTACTGACTTTTTCCAGTTAAGCTTTGACTTATAATCGTCGGTCAATATGACAATTGAATTCTTAAAATTTATTTTACAATTTTAATAAAAAAAGAGTAGTAGAAACTCAGTATTAAAATAGCACATAAAACACAAAAAAGAAAAGGAAAACAATATTCATAAAATTTTGTATTTTTTTTTATTAAAATTAATAGATATTACAATTATTGTATAATAAACAATTATGCTCAACATGATCAACATGGTAATATAACCAGTGTCATATTTTTACTAACCTAAAGTGTGAACAGATACCTTAAGAGGGGGTCTTCGCTAATAGCGATAACATAATAAGGGACAATGCGTTACACATATGGATTATAAATGATTGCATACATGTATATCCGTTGCTATTAATAACCACGATCATAAAGAAATAACATGTAATATTCTAATCTCTAGCATGCCAATCAAAGTTCATAATGAACAATGTCTTTCGTCCGCTCATTCATAAGTGATATACATTTCTGGTAGTTTATAAGAATATCTTGTCATCATATGTGTACTAGTTCATCTTCACTTGCTGCCTTTCTTGCTTTGACGCCCTGTGATGCTTTGCATCAATGCTTTTCTTGTTCATTATTTGGAGAGTAATTATACCCTCACAAATGAAGTTTTTTTTTGGGGGGGGGGGGGGATATAGGAGTCAGCTTGTCGGTCAGTCCACATAATGGTTCCCGGACGATAACTAGAGTTTGGAATCAAACTTAGTATAAAAATATAGCAACCTTATGTTTGAGACCCAAGTTGGTATTGCAATTTGACCCCTTGGGGGTCATCATTACTAAAAATAGGAAAATGGTTTCTGGACAATAACTAGAGTTAGGAATGAGATACACGTGTATTGTAATCAAACTTGGTGAATGGCAAGCTTATATAAAAACCCCAGCTGGTATTGCATTTGGACCCCCTCGGGTCAAGGTCACTGTTACTTATAATAGAAAAATGGTTTCCGGACAATAACTAGAGTTAGGAATGAGATATTGTAATCAAACTTGGTGTAAAGCAAGCTTATATGAAGACCCAGGCAGGTATTGCATTTTGAACCCCTGGTATCATGTTTAAGGTAACCGTTACTTAAAATAGAAAAATGGTTTCTGGACACTAACTTGAGTTAAGAATGAGATATTGTAATCGAACTTGGTGTATAGCAAGCTTATTAGAAGACCCCTGTTGCTATTGCATTTAGACCCCTGGAGTCAAGGTCACTGTTACTAAAAATAGAAAAATGGTTTCTGGACAATGGCCAGTCTCTCTCTAATTGAAAGACTGATATGGGTTGAAGGGCTGATGTAAAGTGGCTGTACCTGTCGTATTACACATTACAAAAAAATATATGTTCATAGGAAGAAATACCAATATAATAAGTTAAGCCACTAAGTCTACCACTGCATTTTGAATTGTTGAATTTTAAAAGCTTACATATTGACTATAGATGCTTTCTGTAAGCTTGCTGCAAGCTTGCAAGTAGTTTCATACAGAAATCTGAAAGCTTGCAGTTACTATGCAAGCTTAGAAGAATCATTTTTATTGCAAGCTTGCTTTCTGTGAAAGCAGGGAAAGAAAAGATAGTGAAAATTTTCTAAGTACAAAAACTTTGAAAAATTTATGAAAATAATTTCACTCAAACTAAATAGCATTTACATGTATATAATATAATTGGATTCAAATGAAAACATTTATTTCATAGATTTTATCTGCCTGTCTTACATTTTATGTTTATTTTATATAACTTTATCAAACTTTTTAATTGCTGTTATTAAAATTCTTATAACTTTCTCAAAATTATTAATATATGCGATGTCAAAAACTAGAGAACAGTTATGACATCTAGATGATGTTTAGTAAAAAAAAAATCAACCAAAATTAAAATGAAAGAGGAAATCACGTGTGTTTCAAACTTAAGCTTTATTATAAATTTTTAATTACAGCTTCCATCATACTTAAAATAAGATAAAGTCAGTATTTTAATTAATTATTATGCTCCTGCATGAATGTGAGAAAATATATGATTATTGGTATTATACGAGTATATATATAATTCATAATATGATACACAATAATTATATATAACAAGTTTTATCAAATAATTATGAAAGACAGAACAACAAATGAATGGTTTTTAGCTCGACTATTCGATAAGAATAAGTAGAGCTATTGCAGTCGGCGTCTGCATCGGCGTAACCACTTATGTTAAAGTTTTTGTAATACTTCAAATATTTTCAAAGTCCATTGACATATGGCTTTTAAACTTTGCACACTTGTTCACCATCATGACCCCAACCTGTAGACAGGAGGAGGTAACTCTATCAAGCATTTTGACAGAATTTTGCCCCTTTTTCGACTTAGAATTTATGTTAAAGTTTTTGTAATACCTCAAATATTTTCAAAGTTCATTGACATATGGCTTTGAAACTTTGCACACTTGTTCACCATCATTACCCCAACCTGTAAACAGGAGGAGGTAACTGTATCAAGCATTTTTTTTTACTATCAAGCACTAAGAATAGTCAAGCGTTGCTGTCCTACCGACAGCTCTTGTTTGATATTACACTCGTGTAAAAAATATTTAATGAAAGTGAACTAAATTCACTTTTCGTAACAATTTTTAGCATACAAGCAAATATAATGAACATTATAATTTATTCATACAAGCAAATATAATGAACATTATAATTTATTGTCTTTTTATATGCCCGAAAGAATTTCGGGCATATTATGTTATACCCCCTGGTGTCCGTCCGTCTGTCCGTCCGTCTGTCCATCCGAGCAGACGAGAGCTACATTATGAGGTTTAGGTTTATGTACAGGCACTCTGTATGGGGTTCATTCCGTAGAGACATGTATTATGTGGTTAAAAATGCTCTTATGGGGTTAAAAAAATTTGCTCTTGTGGGGTTAAGAGATCAAAGGAATAACCCCACAAACACGTCTGCTAAGTATGTCCGTCCGTTAGCAATTTGGTTTCTGGAGCATAACTTAAGTTCCATTTGGCCCACAACATTCAAACTTCATAGGATGATTGCCCATATTAGGTAGAAGATCCCTATGTATTTTGGGGTCACAAGGGCAAAGGTCAAGGTCACTATGACCTTAAAACTGAAAACAGTTTCCGGAGCATAACCTAAGTTCCATTTGGCCCACAATATTCAAACTTCATAGGATGATTGTCCAATTATTGGGCAAAAGACCCCTATTGATTTTGGGGTCACTAGATCAAAGGTCAAGGTCACAATTACCTTAAAACCAAAAACAGTTTCCGGAGTATAACGTAAGTTCAATTTGGCCCATTATATTCAAACTTCATAGGATGATTGTCCATATTGGGTAGAAGACTCCTATTGATTTTGGGGTCACAAGGTCAAAGGTCAAAAACACTTACCTTAATACTGAAAACAGTTTCCGGAGCATAACATAAGTTCCATTTGACCCACAATATTCAAACTTCTTAGGATGATTGTCCATATAAGGTAGAAGACCCCTATTGATTTTGGGGTCACAAGGTCAAAGATTAACGTCATTATTAATAACTTAAGTATTAATCAACCTACAGCTGTAAAATTTTATAGGATGAACAGCTAATTCCCATGTCTTACAAATGTTTCATCCTTACTTAAAAAACAACACTTTCTGGCATATAATGCTCCGCCTAGCGGTGCTCTTGTTAAAGTTTGTCTAGATTACATCTCTTATCATACTAATGCAATTTCTATGAAACTTTACAGGATGAATTGATAACTCAAGTACTTGTGCATATTACAGAGGTTTTCTGCTTGAATAATTTTGGCTGAATTATGGCCCTTGAATAAAAATGGTGTTAATTTAATTTGCCAAAAAAAAAACACTAGTGCAATTTCGATGAAATTTGACAAGATTGATCAGTAGCTCAAGTAATTGAGCATACTGCATGGGTTTTCCGGTTGAACTATTTTTGGCAGAGTAATGACCCTTGAATGAAAACCCTGTTTTGCCCTGTTAATGATATTTGTGTCTCCTGCTACTCAATTGCTACAGCATGCAATTGGATATCTTACAGCGACACATGTGATCACTGATCGCTCTTGTCACTATTTAAGAATGAATGGTACTGGACTAACAAATGACTATTTTTCTTGCAGAATGGGACAGGAATGATAAGTGACTATTTCGATATGAACCGATTTGTGGACATTATTTTAGCAGTAGTCTTTAAGAAGCACAAAGGAAGACGTATTGTGTTTTCAAGTTTTGACCCAGATATTTGTTCAATGTAAGTATGGCAGAATAAGTAATTAAGTCGAGGTAGGGAGAATTGAATTTGTCAGACCATAGTCTGTTTGTGGCGAATATAATTGTGAGCATCATGAATAGTTTTTAGCTGATAACATAACACACCAGAGTGTTTTGACACATTTTTGTGTCGCCTCTACCGAGTAGTGGCGACATATAGGGATCACTTCTCCGTCGTCTGTCTGTCTGTCTGTCCGTCCGTCACAAAACTTGTCCGGACTACTCCTCATAAACTACTGGTGCAATTTCATCCAAACTTTACAGGAATGATCAGTATCAAGTCTAGTTGTGCATATTGTCAGCATTTTCCGGTTCAATGATTTTTGACAGAGTTCTGGCCCTTTAATAATTTTTAATTTTAAAGTTTGTCCGGAATACTTCTCTTATACCACTAATGCAATTTCAATGAAACTTTACAGGATTGATCTGTAGCTCAAGTCCTTGCGCATATTGCACGGGTTTTCTGGTTAAATGATTTTTGGCCAAGTTATGGCCCTTTGATAAAAAGGTGTTTTTTTCTGTGTGTTGCCAGATACACAAAAGCTTGTCCAGACTACTCTTCATAAACTACTGGTGCAATTTCATCCAAACTTTACAGGAATGATAAGTACCAAGTCTAGTTGTGCATATTGTCAGCATTTTCCGGTTCAATGATTTTTGTCAGAGTTATGGCCCTTTAATAATTTTTATTTTTAAAGTTTGTCCGGACTACTTCTCTTATACCACTAATGCAATTTCAATGAAACTTTACAGGATTGATCTGTAGCTCAAGTCCTTGCGCATATTGCACGGGTTTTCTGGTTAAATGATTTTTTGCCAAGTTATGGCCCTTTGATAAAAAGGTGGTTTTTTTCTGTGTGTTGTCAGATACGCAAAAGCTTGTCCTGACTACTCCTCATAAACTACTGGTGCAATTTTATCCAAACTTTACAGGAATGATCAGTACCAAGTCTAGTTGTGCACTGTCCGTCTGTCTGTCTGTCTGTCACAAAATTTGTCCCAACATGAAATTGGCCATCATGAGGCGACACATGTGATTACTGATCGCTCTTGTTATTCCACCGCAGCATCTGCTATGCGGTGGCATATAGCGATTCACCTGTGTGTGTGTGTGTTTGTATGTACGTTTGTGTGTTTTATAGATTATATAGTAAACTTAAAAAATCTTCTTGTGAAAAACCACAAGTCCAATTTCAACCAAACTTGGCAGGATTGATCCTTGGGTGAAGGGCTTTCAAAGTTGTTTAAAGAATTTCATTCCATGCAGAAGTCTGGTTGCCATGGCAACCAAAAGGAATTATAAGAATAAATTTAAAGAATCTTCTTGTAAAGATCTACAAGGCCTAGAACATAGATATTTTGCATAAGGTATTGTCTGCTAGACCTCTACCAAGATTGTTAAAATTAAAGCCCGGAGGGTCAAAATCGGCCCCGCCCCGGGGGTCTTTGTTTTTTTACTATAATTATGAACATATAGTAAAAACTCAAAATACCTTCTTCTCTGAAGGTACAAGGCTTATAGCTTTGATATTTAGTATATAATATAATCTATAGGTTCTCTACCAAAGTTGCTCAAATTTTGCCTCTAGCGTCAAAATTAACCCCGCCCGGGGTCATAGGTTTTCCTTTTATGTATATAGTGAAATCTTAAGAAAATCATCCTCTCAAAATTGACAAAGGCTAGAGGTTAGATATTTTGCATGATACATTTTGTAGTGAACCTCTAGAAAGATTGTTCAAATTATAGCCCTGGGGTCAAAATTGGCCCCGTCCCGGGGGTCATTGATTTTCACTATGTACATATAGTAAAAAAATAAAAAATCTTATTGTCTGAAGGTTCAAGGCTTAGAGCTTTGATATTTGGTATATGATATCATCTATAGGTCCTCTACCAAAGTTGTTCAAATATTGCCTCTAGTGTCAAAATTAGCCCCGCCCCAGGAGTCATAGGGTTTCATTATATGTATATAGTAAAAACTTAAAAAATCATCTTCTCTAAATTGGCAAATGCTAGAGGTTAGATATTTTGCATGAAACATTGTGTAGTGAACCTCTAGCAAGATTTTCAAATTATAGCCCTGGGGTCAAAATTGGCCCCGCCCTGGGGGTCATTGATTTTCAGTCACTTTGTACATTAAAAATCTTATTGTCTGAAGGTACAGTGCTTAGAGCTTTGATGTTTGCTTTATAATATCAGCCATAGGTCCTCTACCAAAGTTGTTCAAATTTTGCCCCTGGTGTCAAAATTGGCCCTGTCTGGGGGCATTGATTTTCATTATATACACATAGTAAAAACAGAAACTTAAACAAATGTTTTCTGAATTGGAGAAAGCTACAGCTTAGATATTTGACATGAAATAATGTTTGGTGGACCTGTATCAAGATTGTTTTAATTAAACCCTTGGGTCAAAATTTTGCCTTGCCCAAGGGGACAGTGACCTACTTTCTTGTCCTTTGATATACAGCCATGAAATTTGGACTATGTGTACAGTTTTAGTTGTAAAAATGATCTTTGATATCAGGTGACCTAGATTTTGATGATGTGACCTACATTTACTTTCTTGACCTTTGATGTGCAGCTATGAAATTTGAACCATGTGCACAGATTAAGATGTAAAGTGAACTTTGATATTAGCTGGCCTAGATTTTGACAAAGTGTCTTACTGTGTTGTCCTTTGATGTACAGTCATGGAATTTTGGCCATGTGAAATATGACCTTCACCACCAAATTCACTAGACTCAACTGCATTGATAGAGTCCTACTCTGATCTTTTATTGTTTCTCGCCTTTTCGAAGAAAAAAGAGGGTATAGAAATAGACTCTGTCCGTCCAAGCAAACATTTGATATTTATGAGCTTCATTCCGTAGTTAAATAAAAAACAAAAACTCATAAAATTCATATTGTGAGCTATTTTTGTGTCGCCTTGAAAAGGCGACATATAGGGGTTACTTTTGTCGGCGGTGTTGTTGTCGGCGTCTGTGTCGGCTTCGTTGTCGGCGTCCCCTAAAGCTTGTCCGGAGCATAACTCAGTCACTATAAGTCGGATTGACTTCAAACTTGGTATGCATGCTTCTTTCAATAACCCGAAGTGCAGTGCACAAGGACCGGTACTCTGCACTTATTAATTTTTTAGTTATTGCCCTTTTCATACTTTAATTTTGTCCGGGCCATTTCTCCTAATGTATAAAAGCTATGGACTTGAAACTTCATAGGATGATAGATCTCATTAAGAAGAAGTGCAGTGCACAAGAACTGGTACTCTACATTTCTTATTTTATGAGTTATTGTCCTTTGTTAATTTTCATACTTTATTTTTGTCTTGGCCATTTCTCCGAAAGTATAAAAGCTATGGTCTTGAAACTTCATAGGATGATAGATCTCATTAAGAAGAAGTGCAGTGCACAAGAACTGGTACTCTGCATTTCTCATTTTTTGAGTTATTGCCCTTTGTTAATTTTCATACTTTATTTTTGTCAAGGTCATTTCTCCTCAAGTATGAAAGCTATGGACTTGAAACTTCATAGGATGATAGATCTAATTTAAAAAAAAGTGCAGTGTACAAGAACCGGTACTTTGCATTTCTTATTTTTGAGTTATTACCCTTTATTAATTTTTATACTTTATTTTTGTCCAGGCCATTTCTCATAAATTATAAAAGATATGGACTTGAAACTTCATAGAATGATTGATCTTATTGATAAGAAGTGCAGTGCACAGAAACTGCTGCTCTGCACCTATTTTTTTTTTGAGTTATTGCCCTTTGTTAGTTTTCATATTTCATTTTTGTCCTAACCACTTCTCCTAAACTTTATTGTTCACAAGGCGACACATCCGACTCGCGGAGTTCTAGTTTGTTTTTATGAGCTAAATTCAGCTTATGGACTTACGTCCAGGTGTAGTTTATGAGCTGATTTGCCTCTTAAATATCAAAAATTGGTACGTCCGTTTGTACGAACTCAGAGGTACTTGTGTGATTTGGAAAACAATGGGTTACAGTAAATTCTTTTTGATCCTATTCATTCCGTTTTTACTTGTGTTTTTTTTTAAGCCTTGTGTGACTAAAAATGGCCAAAAAGATCAAAGGAGTATGTCCGTCCATCCGTCCGTCACACTTTCGTGTCCGGACCATAACTTTGTCATTTATCAAAGGAATCTGAAATAACTTGGCACAAATGTTTGTTATAATAAGATGATGTGTCGTGCGAACCAGACCCCTACCTCCAGGGTCAAGGTCGCACTTGCTCATTCAAGGTCAACATTGTCTATTTGAGGGTATATGTCATGTCCGGTCCATAAATACCTTATCTTTGAAGGGATTTTGTGAATACTTGCCACAATTGTTCGCAATAATTAGACGACGTGTCATTGACACATGGTCCAATACCGTGGGATTCGATTTCAGGTCTGTAGCTCATCCACTTCCTGTTTACCTACTTAATTAAATTTTTGACATTAATAGTCAATGGTAGGGAATTTTGGTAACAGTTTTCTCAGCAACTACTTATCACAGCCTCTTGATATTTGGCATACAGCATTGACACATGGTCCCATATTGTGGGATTTGATTTTAGGTCTGGTACTCAACCACTTCCTGTTTACCCACTTAGTTAAATTTAAGACATTAATGGTCAATGGAAGGAAATTTGCATATCAGTTTTCTCAGCAACTACTTATCACAGCCTCTTGATATTTGGCACATGGTCCCATACTGTGGGATTCGATTTCAGGTCTGTAGCTCATCTGCTTCCTGTTTACCCACTTAGTTAAATTTTCGACATTAATGGTGAATGGTAGGAAATTTTGTTACAGTTTTCTCAGCAACTACTAAACACAGGTTCTTGATATTTGGCATACAGCATTGACACATGGTCCCATACTGTAGGATTCAATTTCAGGTGTGTAGGTCATCCACTTCCTGTTTACCCACTAAGTTAAATTTTAGACATTAATGGTCAATGGTAAATTTTTTCGTAACATCA